CCTTTCCTTTCCTCCTAACTTTTTTTCCCTCTTGTGGGACTGGGAATTGAACTCAGGAGTACTTTTCCACTGAGCTACATCTGCAGCCCTTTTTATTCTTTGAGACAGCCTCACTAAGTTGCTGAGTCAGGCCTCAAACTTGCCATCTTCCTGCTGGGACTACAGTGTGTACCTTCCACACCCAGCAAGGTCACGCTTCCTACCAGACAGTTCTTCCTTATGTAATATCCAAATGCGGGTTGAATGAAAGAACAATTTAAATGACAAATTGAGAAGGCTTTGAATTATCACTAAAGCCAATAGAAGTCACCTTGCTCRGAAGCCCTTGAGTCCTTTAACTCTTTAGTTCATTTATTGAAATGTACTTTAACTCTCTGCTTAACTAGACATTGTGAATGTGGGAAAGAGCTCCAGTAGTTAAACACAGGGTGTTACCTTCTGCCATGTAAGGACAGTGATGGAAAACTGAACAGAGCAGTTCAGATGGAGCACTATAGCTGTTCAGAGGAACTGGTGTTTGACCAAGGATTTGGAGGACCATAAAGTTTACGAGTGGAAGGAAGTATTCTGGACAGAGGTAGCCCGTGTCAAGGTTCAGAGTGATTTTAAAGCCAAACCAAAGAGTTGGGCAGGGAAACTAACAAGCTGTCCTGGTTTGTTTTGGGGGAAGCTGTCTCTGGAAATAGTGAATATGATAGATTTGAAGAGGTAAGGGTTAGACATCAGAAGCAAGAAGAGAATGGGAGCTTGAAGTCATAGCAAGAAGCCTGGAGAGGCTGTACTGCATGTGAAAGATTGTTCTGATATAACAAGATAGTTTTGTTGTTTGTGTTGAGTTAGGGTGGAGCATCCATGAGGGAGGAGGGGAGGAAGACCTTGGCGTTTCTAATTTCATAGGCCATTTTGTCTGTGAAATCTATAACCAGAACACACCTCATTTGCCAATTTGGGGTAGGGAGGAATGTGCAGATAATGACTAAAGGTTATGCGGTGGATCTAACTGAATACTCAGGTGGAAATTGGAGACAAGCAGAAATAAATATAGAAGCAGTATTTCGTAGTAACCGAGTATAAACTTTGGAATCAGAGCTGAATTAAAATCCCAACTCTGATTCTTTTGGACCATTATTTAATTTCTTTATATCTTTTTCCTCATTTGCATTTCAATTCCATTTTGTCTGGTAGTAATATATTAACATTTATTATATTTTTGTTTGTCTAATAGCTATTTGTGCCATCTTTATTTTTATGCTTTATTTGACACCTTGTGTTTTTTCCCCCTTCCCTCCAGTACTGGGGATCAAATCAGGGCCTCTGGATACTAGGCAAGAGCTCTACCATTGAGCTGCTTCCCCAGGTCTTACCTTCGTTTCTTTTCAACAGCATAGCTGGGTACTTTTGGTTTTAGCCCAATCAAAAAACTCAGTCTTGATAGTCTTGGTTTTATTTCTTCTGGCTTTTTTTTTTTTTTTAACTTTCACCCCCACCATCCAGCTGGAATTCTCATTTCTTAGTGAGAAAACATACAAACTTGCTGGGCTAGTGGTGCTCTTCAGTAATCCCAGTACTTTTTGAGGTTGAGGCAGGAGCATCACAAGTTCAAAGTGACCTCAGCAATTTAACAAGAGCCTGTCTCAAAAAAAGGGGAGGGAGGAGCTGGGAGTGTAGCTTAATAGTAGAACATTGCAAGTACCACAAAAAAAAAAAAAGGTATGTGCAAGAAAAAACACAACTTTAGAACAATCTATCATCTATAGAGAATATTTTAAAGTACTACAACTCATAGAATAAATTAACTTTCAATTCTTATTAAAATATTGAAACCTTTTATATGTTAGCCTTCATTTTAAAAGATCACATAATCTATACTTAGCAACTCATCCTAGCACTTACCAGCATGCTAGGGAAATAACAAGAAAGTGCTATTTGCTATTTCAACATTGTTTGCCTATTCTCTGTATGACTATTTGCATACAGATAATTGTTTAAAGAAAGTGTTAATAGGATCTTCACTTCCTGGTAGAAAACAGAAGTGGAACAAAAGTTTGTCTATGGAAATATTCTTCCTTGAAAGATTATTTGGGGGAAAACCAGTTATTGCTATAATTATGTCTAGTTCTGTTGTGATTTTATAGTACAGCCTTAAGAACTATCTTTAATTTTCTGAGTCAAAATAATGATTATAATGATGATAGTTATGTTAAACTTCACTAAATGACTAGTAAGTAGAGAACTATTCTAATACTTTAAGTGTAATTATTCTATTAATCCTCACAGTGAATCTGAGGAAGGTYCTGTTTTTATCCATAACTTACCCTGACAGAACTGATCCCAGGGAGGTTAAGTAACTTACCTGTGACCATACTGGCTGGGAAAGTAGCTCAGTGGTAGAGTGCTTGCCTAGCATGTATGAGGATTCAACCCGCAGCACTGCACAAAATAAAACTATGATAACTATTACCATTCTGTCTCTGTGGAGATCATACCAATTTATATTCCCACCATAAGCATAAAAAAAAGATTTATACTCTGAGACAGGCATGGTGACACACATTCATAATCCTTATTGATTTGGGATGCTGAGTCTAGAGAATTGCAAATTCAAGGACAACCTTAGCAACTGAGCAACTTAGCTAGGCTAGTGTTCTACCCCAGCCCTATATCTATCAAAATTTTTACTGTATATTCCCTCTGACTCAGGAGTTCTACTTGTTCATGGACACACCCACATATTTACACAGAGATTTAGGATAATGTGTCATTCAAAATTTGAATTAAGTTATAAATTGTTTTTAGCATTTTACTATCAATCAACAGTTAACCGTTTATATAAAATTAGGTGCACAAATAGTGAAACAGTATGTAGCCATTAAAAGGTATTGTTAGATTCGTGTTTTCATGTGTTGCTATGAAAAGATCTCTAAGAGATGTTAAGTGAAGACAGCAAGAGCAGAGAGTAGGTATACTGTGGTTCAATATGTGTGGAGTACATTTCTCAAAAGATGGAAATGGAATATAAGAGAGTCTGGAGTGGGAGGAAGACAATCGTTTTATCTTTTACTATTCTGTACCGTTTAAGCTTTAACAAAAACTATTACTGCACATCTACCATTTTACATGAATTTAAATGTGTAGCATCATTAAAAGCCTGCTGTTAAGGTAATCCCATGTAGAAAATCCAGAAGGTATTTTGTGCATGAGTATGTGTGATCAAAGTAAGTGCATCTAGAGGAAGTCTCAGAATTATGTTCCTTGTCGGTCAACTTTTAAGGTGTGTTCTCAGTGTCTTTTGTTTATTCAGGCATTTAGTAAATATTGCACTCAACACTTAACTATGTTTTTTCTTGAAGTAAATTTTAAACTTGAGCCTGGGAATTTCTTCAGAACAATGGACTTTAAAATTGGGAGGAACAGCCAGGTGAGGAGGCACAAATCTGTAATACTAGTGGCTTGGAAGGCTGAGGCAGGAGGATCACTAGTTCAAAGCCAGCCTCAGCAGAAGCAAGGTGCTAAGCAACTCAGTGAGACCCTGTCTCTAAATAAAATACAAAAATAGGGCTGGGGATGTGGCTCAGTGGTTGAGTACCCCTGAATTCAATCCCTAGTACCTGACCCCCAACACACAAAATAAATTGGGAGGAACTTAGAAGATGAGTTACCTCATCCAAAGCAAGAGAAGACTGAAATCTAAATGGACACATCTGTCCATCACTTGGCTGTTTGGAAAACCAGGCCTCTCTTGTGCCAGTCCCAGCTCTCCCCATGTACCAGCAGAATGTTAGAAGGACAATTCACCTCAGATTTGTTGCCTTTTCTTTCTGCTGAAGTTACTTCAGATCTTTTTTAGTAGATTTGTGTCCTCAAATGATTAACTTTGGAAGGAGTTAATGCTATCAGAAATGTGCTATCAGAAATACTCTGAATTTCTATTTTGTCTTTTAAAAAGCAACATTTTTATTTATATGCCATAAGATTTATGCTCTAAATTTTGTATGGACACTTTTGCCTACAGTCTTCCTTCCTTCCTTCCTTCCAGGGATTTACCCCAGGGAGGCTTTTACTGCTGAGCTCTATCCCCAGCCCTTTTTATTTATATTTTATTTTGAGCCCAGGGTCTCACTAAATTTCTGAGGTTGACCTTGAATCTGTGATCCTCCTGCCTCAGCCTTCCAAGTCACTGGGATTACAGGCATGTGTCACCATGCATGGCCCCATTGTTGAACGGCGTTTTTGTTTTGTTCGAGGTATCTGGGATGAAACCCAGGGCCTTGAGCAAGCTAGGCAAGTGCTATGCCATCCCAAGCCTTTTCATTTGTTTGATTTTAAGACAGGGTCTTGCTTATGTTGCTGAGGCCCACCTTGAACTTGTGATCCTCCTGCCTCAGCCTCCAAAGTGGCAGGGATTACAGGGTTGTGCTGCCACTCCATACCTGAACAGTGTTTTTTGAATAGTACTTTTCACCTGGCTGTGGATAGGCTTAGGTGTTATCTAAGTATATCATGAGCTCCTCAGACACCAGGTCAGCTGCCTACCTGGTGCCTCAGGTGGCACTGCTGACAGTGTGATAAACCTTTGAGGCACTTAACATATCCTTTTTATTTAAGTATTTTCTCCCACATCCTTTTAATTCTTCCAGAATACCAAAGCTATGTTGAAAGGAATGTAGTCCTAGACTAGAGGATATCACATTTTTTAAAAAGGGACAGATTGTACTATTGATTTTGAGGGCATTCTGTCAATTTAAAGATTAAACCCAGAGCATGTGGGTTCCCACAGGGTAGAATTCAATGCATCTTCTCTGACCTCCTTGTTGGCATATTAAATTATCCTGAAAACTAAGGGCACTTGTAGTGTGCTCTTCTTGGGAATCTGAGGAAAGCAAAGGCTAGACTTGGTCAGTGCAAGACCACAGACCCATGTTTGTTAAATGTAGACCACTCAGCCTTACAATTCGCAGTTTAAACCTGCCTGTGTTGGATCTCCATTTTGCCCCATGTAGCCGCACGAGAAATCGTCTGGTTAGAAAAAGAAGAGCGAGCCAGACAGCACTATGAAAAGCACTTGGAAGAGCGGAAGAAGAAGCTGGAGGAGCAGCGGCTGAAGGAGGAGCGCAGGAGGGCTGCGGTGGAGGAGAAGCGGAGGCAGAGGCTGGAGGAGGACAAGGTGAGCGCCCCTCCAGGAAGGACATGGGAGGTTCCTGTTTGCAAGATGCAGTGCACTTCTGTGGAGCTTTGCAGTCAGGTGCTGGGATGCAGTGGTTTCCAAGTAATCAGCGGTACCTGTGGCCAAGGTGCTAGGGAGGGTGGGGTGTGGGAAGCAGGTGGAGAATGGGCGGTTATTATTGCCATGGGAACTTGAAAAGCCCCATTTCTCTGGTCTCCACCTCTGATTTATTAATGTTCAGTTCATCTCATCTGTCCTGAAGTGTTAAGAATACTCCAAATAATTGGGTTTCAGTAGGGCCTAACCATTTATAACCATCTTCATATAGACGTCTCATTACTTAACCTTACCTTAATATCTGTTTTTGCACAAATGGAAATTGAGATTCAGAATGGTGAAGTCACACAGATTATATAGCTCACTGATTTGTGGACTCAGAATTATGTACATCCTTAGATTCGGAACTCCTTTTTTAAAATATGGTACCAGCCAGGCACAGTGGTGTACACCTATAATTCCAGATACTGGGGAAGCTAAGACAGGAGGATCACAAGTTCAAGGCCTGCCTGGGCAAATTAAGGAGAACTTGTCTCAAAATAAGATTTTTTTAAAGGGCTGGGGATGTAGCTCAGTAGTAAAGTGGCCCTGGGTTCAGTTTAGTACAAAAATTTAAAATGAGATAATATAGGGGGCTGGGGATAAAGCGGAGTCATACAGTGCTTGTTCAACATGTTCAAGGCCCTAGGTTTGATCTCTTGCACTGGGGAAAAAAAAAAAAAGTGGTAGTGTATCTTTTAAGCATCCATTTAAAGCCCAGACWTACACTGCCAGGACTGAGTGTGTAGAGAACAGCATCACACCCAGAAGCAAGGATATTTGAGTTCCTGCCGTATACCAAGGGTTTTATGATATTCCTACCTTCAGGCAAGGTGTAGACATCAGCAAGTAGCTTAGGAGTGGTGGCATGGAGGGTTAGGTAGTACCCCTCACTCCAAGTTGTAAAAATTTCAAACAATCTGGTTGAATCTAACCGCTGGCTCCTCTGTTCCATTTCAGGAACGCCATGAAGCAGTTGTTCGACGTACAATGGAAAGGAGCCAGAAGCCAAGGCAGAAGCCTAACAGGTGGTCGTGGGGAGGCTCCCTCCAAGGGAGCTCTGGCATCCACAGTGCAGGTAAACACCCAGAGGCCACTTTAAAGCATCCTTTTTGTTCTTTCTCTGGATGGTAAAAGTGCATATGCTTCTTTTTTCTAAATCTGTTTGCAAAACAAAAAATCCTTCTGAAATCATTAAACTGTCATTAAATCTTCCTCTCTTTGAGGATAAGAGGGTGATGGAGGTAAGAAGATAAGGTCTTGTCCCTTAACATGAACTACTTTTCTCATGTGTTACAAAATTCCTTAAAGAAGAATCTGTTCAACGTTACTAAAACTAACTAGTCTCGACTCTGTTTTAGTCATTTATTTGCATAAGTGTTAGAAGGATTATGGAGCAAGTTAACCCATATCTTTTATGGAGTAAGTTAAACCATATCTTTTATGAAGTAAGTTAACCTATATTTTTTATGGAGTAAGTTAACCCATTTTATCTTTTTCTCTAGAAGAATCATAGTAATACAGATCAAAATTGACACTGAGTTTGTGCATTCTGACCCTAAAGTGTACACCACACTAATTCTTTGACAGAAAGTATGCAGCTGTTTAAGAAAAGCTAGAAATAGTAGTAGATGTCTAAACTATTTCTTCCTTCAATGAACATGAGATCATACCGAAATTAGACTTAGTGAAAGGCTTTATGCTTGTACTGTAAATTCAACACATCTTGAATTTTACATAGTATTTCAGTTCTTGTTCATTTGTGTCTATTTATTTATTTATTTATTTATTTAACTTTGAAAATCATGTCTTAACGTTCTGTCCCCAGGTGGTTTTGTTGAGTCATCATTCACCTTTCTCGATTTAGCAGGCCTGGACCACCGCTTCACAGCTTTGGGTGGTACTAGAAAATCTGGTACAAACATCCCTGTGATTGCTAACTGCCTGACTGTAGCTGGCACCGCAGCCCTAGGGCCGGTCCATTGATAGCTGAGTCATCACTATGTAGTCATAATGCATGCTTGCTGTCCTCCTGCATAGACCTCATCTGGGATTGGCACAGCATTTCTTAAGTGTGGTAATATGACTCAGGTGACTTAAAGGTGTTGAAATAATTACATGTGGCATGTTTGCTTTCTCTTCAAATGACCATTTTGGATAAAATCTTTTAAAAATGTTTTTTTCAAGGCTGGAGATACAGCTCAGTGGCAGTGGGCTTGACTAGCATGCTCGAGGTCCTGGGTTAAATTCCCAGCACCATCCAAAATTTAAAAAAAAAGAAAAAAAAATTGAATTTAGCCAAAAAGTTATCTGGGACCAAAGTACATCCAGTTTAGCTCTCCACACCCTCCTTCCTTACTGCTGTAACCACTTGCAGTTTTATCTAAGTAACTATGAAGTTTTATTTGTTTGTTCTCTTCTGTTTCATTCCAAATGTTCTGTGTATCTTCTGTAATCCTTTGATGAACATCACCATAGTTTACTGTCCCATAACAGTGAAACAAATTCAAAAGCACTTCTCCCCGTTTGTTCTTCACCAACCTGTGGTATTTGGTTGAGCACATATCAAATTTGTGACCATAGAGATAATTTACATGTGATGTTTCATTCTAGGGAGAGTTTTGCATATATATTCCATGCAGAAAAAAATTGTCATGGCATATTTTTTAGAATCTTATTTGTTTTTTAACTTGGCTTCATGCTTTACACATGTTTGACAGAAATCCACCCTGTTAATAGATTGTCCAACATTTTTTAGGTAAAATAAAGCTTCTTAGCCTTAATTCTTGCTTCCACACTCAGAAGTTAAAATATAACCTTTTTCTCCTGCCACTCAGAACAAAATAAACTGGTGCTGCATTTGTGAACTGTTAGATAAAACCTATTTTTATAAGAGCTGTGAATTAGAGCAAATTACTCCTCTGTTTGAACACAGACGTTTGTCTAAAAATAATTGGAATTTGCTGAGGTTCTTAGAGACTAGAGCTTGATCTGGAGAGCAACAGCTGGGTCTCATTCCAAATACACTTCACTTTTACGGCAATGCCTGAGGCAGGACGCCTCCTCGATATTTACTGACCAACAGACAGGTCCTAGAGCCTGTCTGCATGAAAATTAGTGTCTTATACAACTGCTAGCACATCTATTAGCACCAGTCTAAAAATTTTATACTTTTGAAAACTGGTTCATTATAAATCCTTTTGTGAATTTTTTTTTGTTCAGTGAGAAAAAGAAATTAATAAAAGTTGTCTTACATATCAAGTCAGAAAATACGTTCATGGCATAGTTAGTTCAGTAATTTTAACCATTAGATATTTTACCACTCACAGCATTTTGGAGGGATAGGAAAACCTAGTATAGCTAATTTTTTCCTTTTACTCTGAAACAGAAGTGAATTTTTTAATGCGCTGTGGAGAATCTGCCTGAAGATAGGCATGCATATGACATCATTTCCCTCCAACTGAAGCTTATCGTATAAAGAGCAGTACCAGAAAATATGTTGCTATCAAATCACCTGGCAGTGACTTTCATTCTCCTTCCTTGTGCCCATCATGAGGATGTTCCTTTTAATGTTTTCCCTAAATGTTGTCATCGTTGGGACAACCCCAAGAACCTCACTTACATTTACAGTTAAGTGTAAATGTAAGACACGGAAATGGTGTGTGATGTCTTTTTTTTTTTTTTTWAATAAAATCATTTCAACCGTATGAGTAAATCCCAGTTGAAAATAGAAATCCATAGCCAGGTGTGGTGGCACATGCCTATAATCCCAGCAGCTCAGGAGGTTGAGGCAGGAGGATCACAAGTTCAGGCCAGCCTCAGCAACTTAGCAAGGTCTATGCAACTTAGACCCTGTCTCAGAATTAAGAAGGGGTTAAGGATGTGGCTCAGTGGTAGAACACCTCTAGGTTCAATTCCCTTTACCAAGAAAAGAAATATGTGATGCTAATGGAAGACTTGCTTATCATCAGTACATCATCCATAATAGTCAAAAACTTATTCCTTGGGGGAATTTTTTTGCACAGTGTTTACTGCCGCAGTTCATTAGACCAATGGGAACTGAGTTTTGAAGGGTCTGCCACAAGGAACGTCTTTGCTTTTGTTTTAGTTTCCAACAATAGAAAATAAAACACAACAAAACTTCTTTAACTTATTTTAGATCAGAACATCCACTTTCCTCCTGGACACATTTATGATGAGATTTTTAGACTTTTATTATAGGTAATATTATTTGGGGAATATAACTTGTGCTGACAAGCATGATTACAACTTGGTTCCACTGTACCAGCAGCAGTTTAACAGAGCTGGTTTTTGTCTTTTATGTGGCTACTTCCCTTTTGACTTGAACTGTAAGAATTATTTTTAAGTTATTTCCAGGATGAACAATAATACTCATCAGCTTACAAAGAATTCTTATTTTAATTACATTGCTGTTGATTTTGTTGGGCAAGTTTTTGCCCTGATTATCCATTTGTAGGCCACACTAAGCTCATGGGGCACTAAAGTGTGGTTATTCGTAGACTTTTATGAAAGAAAGGATGTATGGTCATCCTTTCCACACCAAGAGCATTTCTTTGTCTTTCTTGTTCTTAAAACCATTCTTCTTTAATGAACTGTAATGCCTGGCTGTTTTTTCTTTAAAAAAGCATCAACAGCTAAACAGAATCTGCTGTGTTTTTTTCCCAGTGTTTGCAGTATATTTTACCAGCACCATCACCACCCTATGGTTCCTACCTTCAGAAATGATGAAGCCATTCACTTTTATGGTCCTCTCTTTGCTTCATAGTCTGTTATTTTCATAGCCCTTTATTGGCCCTCCTTTTGTCTTCATTTACTTGTTATAACAGTATCCTTGAGTTTCAAACTGGTGCACTGAATATTTATTCTGTAAGAAAAAAAATGAATTTTATTTCTAGCCTTTAAGTTACCTTTAGCTTGTCCACTTAAAAAACTGTGCTATTATGAAAGATCTAGAAATAGAGCTGAAAGCATCCAATGCTAGTTTCTCCTTCCATCAGTGAGCTAGGAAAATTGCAATCCTGCATGCTGGCTGTCAATTAGCATTATCTCCATTTGTTTTAGATCCAGACAGGCGGTCAGTTTCCACCATGAATCTTTCGAAACATGTTGATCCCGTCATTAGCAAGCGGCTCTCCTCCTCATCTGCAACTTTACTAAATTCTCCAGATAGAGGTACAGTCAAAAGGAAAACAAAAAAAGTGTTATGTTATTTACTTAATGCTTTTTTTTTCTGGATGTTTACAGATGAAAATAAGCATCTGAAGTTGCTTTCCCTACGTTTCTTAAATAGGAAGAAAAAAACTTCAGAGTAAAAAACCAATAAACGGCTGAACAGAATTTTCCTTGCGACAAGAACTTTCTCATTTTAGAACGTGGCTGAATGATTGCATTTAGCAGTGATGAAATCGGTGCTGCTCTCAACTTTTTAGTAGATGAGTTTACAGCTCCAGAAATCACCCACTTATCCACCAAAATGCAAATGGTCTTTGTTATGAACATTTCTTTTACTTCAATCATATTGTCTATGGCTTTTCATCTGTACCTTGGGAATTCCAGGCTCTGACTTTCCAAAGGAAACTTTAAATGATTCACGTTGGTAGATTTCATTTTGCTATTTATTTCCCACTTAACCAAGCATGCTTTTCTTATGTGTGTGATTGGTTTTTGGTACTCATTCATTTACTCCTGGGGATTTGACCCAAATTCAACAATATCATCATCATTACAGCCTCCTGAAAAGTTCAGTAATCATATAATCCTTCAGTTAACATCTTGGTTTTAAGTTTTATTCATCCTATGGATTTACAGTACATGAATGTTGAATTATTTATAAAGTAAAAGTTTTATTTTTCATATATCATGGAAGGAACAATAAGCTTTTAAGATAAGCTACTTGTTTTACATGGCTAAAATGATTTTAAATAAAACCAAAGAATTACTGTGCAGTATAAAAGCACATAATTGTTAAAAATTATAAATTATGGTTACCTCAAGTACTTTATGAAGAAACTGGGAAAGTTTCAGTGTTTATAATCTTTAAAAAATGTAACGTGTGCATGTTCTGTATGTGCGTATGTGTATTCATATATTTTGTATTGTATAAAAGTTATGGTATTATTGTAATGTACAATATTATGAGTATTGATGTTATTTCATAATTAATCTCATAAAGTGATAAATGTTGGAACAACTTCCTATTCTTTCCTTTCTAACCAAAACCTTTCCTTTAAAAAAAACAAAAACAATTTGTATAAACCAATATTAGACATACAGTCAAATTAGGGGCCTTTTGTGTTAAAGTGTTAATTAAATTTTCTTAGCTGGGCATGGTGGCACATGCCTGTAATCCCAGTAATTTGGGAAGCTGAGGCAGGAGAGCAAGGCCAGCCTCAGCAACTTGGCAACATCCTATCTCAAAATAAAAAATAGAAAGGACTGAGGATGTAGTTCAGTGGTAAAAAGCCCCTGGGTTCAGTCCCCAGTACTGCTAACCAACTAACTAAMTAAMTAAATAAATAAAATGTCTTTCACAAATATCCTTTATTTTCAAACTTGCTCCCTTAATGTAATGTAAAATAGAACACTGAATGCTATTCTTATACTTGTCTATTCACCTTTGGAATGGGTCACATTATGAGCTGTTTAACTTCATACTTTTTGGTGCCAGGGATTGAACCCAGGAGTGCTTAATCACTGAGTCACATCCCCAGTCCCACAATCAGGATTTTATAGTTCTTTTATCTTAAGTCTGACTTACTTGCAAAATTAAGGTGAGGATTGAGACAGGTAGTAAACTGGTCAATGTCCTGTCCACATCTCTGTGGAATGACAATGTTGAATTATCTTTCTTGATTAGAAATAAGATGATATCTTATGGATTCTGTATGATAGTAACTAATTGGATAGTCTTAAGATAATATCTTAGAAATCATATTACCTAGATCATCTGTAGCAGTTGGGGTAATATTCTCTCAGGGGTTGAGAGCCTGACTTAATGTCCCACAGGCTAATTACTGTAGAAGAGTGATTAGAATGAAGTCCCCAGCTCCTTACTTGCAGCTGCTATGCTGTGTGTGCAGTTCTCCCCCTTCCTGGGTGTCCTTCTGTGCTTTTTTTCTTTAGATGTGTTAGAAATTATCTAGTAAGCCCCCGTCTCAAAATTAAAACTAAAAAGAGCTGGGGATGTAGCTCAGCGGCAAAGTGTTTCGGGTTCAATCCCCAGTACAAAGAAAAAAAGAATTGGAATTAAGACACCAGGGTAAAGGAACGTTCAATAACCAGTTTACATCTGGGGCCAGGAAACTGCTCCTTGAATCCTGGTGCAGGACAAGAAGCTGAACATTAAGCTGTGCTAGGAGAAGCAGAGGGAGAGCACTGAATTTGAGAGTTTTGCTTCTCTGCCTGCTTTTCAAAAAAAAAAAAAAAAAAACTGTAAATGAGTTCCTGGCCTACCTGATCAGAGATGCCTAGAAGGGCTCTCTAGGGTATAGAAAATTTTTTGTTTTGTTTAAGTTAGACAAAACCCACATTTGGACAGTGAGAGGCTTAGGGTCTTTCAGTAAGAGTAGAAGTTATTTTGAGTTTGAATTTCTCTATTTTATAAATATTTCTTATCTGTTACCCTTTTTTGAAGTTATGCCTTATCATCTCATTAAAAAGTATGCTTATTGCTGGGCACAGTGACACATGCCTGTAGTCCCAAAGACTCAGGAGGCTGAGGCAGGAGGACTACAAGTTCAAGGGCAGCCTCAGCAACTTAGTAAGACCCTGCCTCAAAATAAAAGGCTGGGATGTAGCTCAGTGGTAAAATGCTACTGAATTCAATTCCCACATACCATAAAAAGAAAGGAAGGAAGGAAAGAAGGAAGAAAGAATACACACACACACACACACACACACACACACACACACACACACACACACCCAAACACACACATACTGAATTAATAAATTAGAAACCTTTGTAGACAAATATGTCAAGAGGTTATATGCTTCTCAGTCTTAAAACTGATTTAAAATGAGGATCTGAAGCCATCAAGACTGATTGTCAACTGAAATGCATCCTAACAGTTCTATCGGTTATTAAATATATTGAAACATTGTCATATCATTTAATAAATAGACATTTCCCCAAATGTATTTTCACAGGCGCTCCAAAGTTAGTGGAGGCTAGTCACAGGTCTGTACCTATGTCCTATAGATTTTTGAAATATTTTGATTATCTGAATATAGTGTTACATGGACTGAGAAGACTACCTGGCTTTAAGGAAAACTGATTATTAAAGATTTCTATAATTGCTACAGAATGTTGATATATTTCCATTAAAAGTACATATCACCTGGAGCCAGTTGGTGGGGCACAGCTGTAATCCCAGCCACTCAGGAGGCTGAGATAGGAGAATCGCAAGTTCAGGGACAGCCTCAGAAATTTAGCAAGACCCTGCATCAAAAAACAAAAATGAGGATGTAGCAAGATGGTAAAGCACCCTTGGGTTCAATCCCAGTACAAAACAAACCCCCAAAGCTAGTGTATGTCACTTTTTTGATTTTTTTAAATTTTTTTGTTGTTGTAGGTGGACACAATGCCTTTATTTTTGTTTATTTATTTTTTTATGTGGTACTGAAGATCAAACCAAGTGCCTCACCCATGCTAGGCAGGCACTCTGCCACTGAGCCACACCCCCAGCCTCTATATATCACTTTTAAACTACCCACTTAACCAGTTCAAAAAAGAACAATGGAAAGTTTGAACAGAATAAGAATGAAATTGCCTCCTCTTTGCTTAAAATTAGTCAATATACTTTCCCCCTAGAATAAACATCAGAGGACACATTGGTGGACCTCAAGCCAAATTCTGCCCAGAGCATTGTTATCTTTAACCTGAGCAGTGCTTTTTCTTGCTTTAATTAAAATTGATTGCTAATATTTAAAATATAAGACTTCATATAACATTTAGTTTTCCTCCTAATACATAAAATAAATATATATATATATATATATATTTATCAAAATTTAAGTGTTTAAATAGGGCCAATACCATAGAGTTCCATGAGTGTCAATGCCTCTTCAGCTTTTTAATCTTAAAATCAGGACTCTGTAGGTGGAAAAGAACAATGAACTAACTGTTCTTTGTGAGCACCTACTACAAGGTTATCTCTCCTCTGGAAGGCAGTAGGTGTGAGTGTGGTACATGTTGAAGCCTGATTTCTCTAGCACCATCTTTTATTCAAAGTGTTAAGATTTGCTTTACATCAAAGTTAAAGTGGGCTCATAATGATCTTAATTTGAAGCAAATTCTGTCATTGAAGCTAGAGACTCAAAGAAGTAGAGTAGTTGAACTTCTTAATAGAGAAAAGAGAAAAATACATCTTTTCCATGATCCTTCATCTCTGCAGTTTTAAGCTACAGGCATTCAATAGTTTTTCTAAGAAAAGGAAGTGTTCATCTTTCTTTCCTTTCCCATCCATTGAACATATAGTTCTGTCGAAGATTTTTAGTTAATCCTAATCCCTTTTCTTCCATTGCTTTTATTCTGAGAGTGTGTTCTAATTTTAGGTTGCATTATCCTATTTTGTTGTTAATACACTCTCACTACCCTACTAGTTGATGATAGTACTTCCCCATGGTGCTTTCTACTAACTTTAACGATTGCAATTTCTATAGCAGATCGTTTTCATTAACGTCTTAATGCCAGATAATAATTAATTTTACCAAAAAGACTTCTAAAAAAAACAGAAAATCCAATGAATAATTCACTAATTCTTAAATTCACTAGAGCTTTCATCAAAATAGTCACTCTTTTTAAAATAAAATCAGGTAATTAGGGAACTGACTGGAAGTTGATTCTTCCTTCCAAATAGAAGCAAATATTTTAAAGTAACAATACTTAGCAGTATGTGGCTTTTGTTATCTAAAAATGATTTCCTAGAATTTAAGTGCCCTTCCAAACACCTGCTCCAGAGGCAAAGGAGTCTTATATCTGAGGTTTATGAATAGAAGTGACCTTGTCAGGCAAAGACTTTCAAGTGACTTAAGGATGCATTCTAAAACAGATTAGAATGTAATGGAATTTGAAGAAGTTTGCAAACTTCTTTACTAGTATTTTTGGAAAATACCTTCTATATTTTCATGTGCTATCATTGGAAGCTAACATAAAAGCAAAGTAAATAACTTATAATTAGCATGCATTTCCTAACCATGGCCTTGCTGGGCCCCAGTATAATGTGAAGCCATATATTGTTGCATTATTTTAACTTTGTTTTCGAGATTCTTCAGGCACCCACTACTAATTGTCAAGATTATGCTTATGTTGAATTTTGGCTTTTCTGTTTCATTTTATCTTGCTTCAGCCTTAGCCTTAATCCTCAGCCAAAATTTTTATATTGTTGCCAAACAGGGATGTGAAAAACCTGGCTTGCTGAATGGAAAGGTCAGAAGGAGTCCCATGCAGAAATTTGCATGAGTCTTCATTTTATTTTATCTAACCCCATCCTCCAATTGCTCACATAGCGATTCATGGAGATCTAGCATAGTCTAACGGGAATGTTCTCTATATTTTGTATAAATCTGGTTTTTCATTCCTGCCAACAGCTCTGTTGGGATTTATTATTCAAGGTACTTAGGAAGCCCTGTGGCTGAGGTGTGTACCATCAGTCCATTGCCCATCCAGATGTCCATCTGATAGGTCTACCCCGGAATTGTTCATACGTATCAAAACAAATGTAGTTGGATGATATTTCTGTTTTGAGACCTATTGACTACTAAAGGAGAGTGATTGGCAAAATCTGCAACTAAACTTCTTAAGAGGTTACTGTAAAATTAACCTTAGTGGAACAGCTTTGTGGAGCAGCTGCTACTCTTGGAAATTGTTTCTGTTTCTCTGACTTATGGCCAGCTGTCCTCCCTGGAGAGCCTGGTGTCTCACAAAGACCAGGCCTATGGAGCTGATAGGTATGATGTGGTGCGCCCCCTTGACCCTGGAAAGAATGTTTCTAACATCTTACTTATGTGGTGACGTTTAGCTCGCCGCCTGCAACTCAGCCCCTGGGAAAGCAGCGTTGTTAACAGACTCCTGACGCCCACACACTCGTTCCTGGCCAGAAGTAAAAGCACAGCAGCCTTGTCTGGAGACACAGGTAAAGCCGTCCAGGTGGAACTCTCCTGGTGAGGTAAAGTCCTCCTTGCAGAGCCTATCTGCACTGCTTACCTCTATTTTTCCTGATGTGTGCTTCCCTCTGCTCCGGTGGAATTGTTAGTTAGGTTGGTTTCATGCCCCTGGCATTGTTTCCTCTTACTGTCCACCTTAGCATCTTATGTGGACACCAGTCACCAGGCAGCCAGAGGAAGCACCTCTGATCAAACGGCTTCAGCTTGCTCTGCTCTTTAGGCTACCAGAATAAAAGTATCCCTTACCTACCATTCTTTCTACCCCTGTGTCTCAGCATGTGATCAGTGATAGACATGATTTAATATTTAATACCAATATGTGGACTCAGGAATAAAATCAAAGCACAGACCTGTTATTTAAGCACAGAGTTTTGTAATGTGGCTGTGGTTACTGCTTATCCTTCCTGCCAGTCTCTTGTGTGTAATCTAGGAACAGAACCCTTACAAACTCTAAAGAGTTGTGGAGAAGGATAATTAGCGTGTATAGAATATAATTGTAGAGTCATATTCATTGAAAATATGTAGAATATACCTACCACAGGCTATTATAATTCTCTACTTTTTTAAATATAAAACATGCTGAATGAGCCAATTGGCTCATTCGCTTAATGAGAAATTAGTATACAGCTTCCATGTAGTTGGTAAGAAAATTCTACATTAGGCTTTTGGTATCACTACTCCCATGGTGAGTTGATTTAGATTTTCCCAAATCTCTTTGGGTATAGTTGGTGCATCTGTGAAACCCATCTAGCTCTCATCTTTGACACTCAGGAAATTGTGTACCCTCTTTCAAAAATTACCTTTAAAAATTCTTTATCTCTGCAGCCTACTCATGTGCATTAACTAACTTTACCAGTAATAATCCTTGGTGCTTTATGGGGTCTTTCATCTACAGTGCCCAATGAGCTAATGAGCATCGACTCTGCTTCTCATAGCACCCCTGGAGTCAGTCTAGGGAGCAGGCGTGGACATTCCCAACTCCCATGGAAAGCAAGTGTACTTGCAATAAAAGACTTTTACCAGAGCCGCTTAGAAAGTGGGTGGACTAGATCTTAAATGTGCTCTCCTCTCCCCCTTCAAAACCATATGGTGTTTTGTGTCCGGCTGTGCAATCAACCAGCTGGACCACAGTGGTTTGTTTTTTTTTTTTTTTTCTTTTTCTGTAAAATAATTTTTTTTGGAGCTGTCATCCTACATTTAAGACTTTTCGGAAGGAAAAGTATAGTAGATCTCAAGATAGTATATACCTATGATTCACAAGTCATGAAAGCTTTTCTTCATGTTGAAGAACATGTCAGACTGCTTCTCTATCCTGCTTCACGGGATCTCCGTAGTTTATGACCATCCATCATGCATCCGAACCTCCACATTGTATGCCATGCTCTGCTTAAAGACTGCCTCAAAGCTAGAAAATTATCTTCGCTGTTTCTGTCATCACTAACTTTTGCCAATTCTTTAGCTCTTCCTCTAGTCTTCCAACACCATTTCTTCATTTTCCACCCAATTTACTCACCCGCCTGCCTTCCCACCTTGTTCTTCATTGTTACGCTCAGTCAAGGTGCTTTCTATCTGCAGATTGGCTCTTTACTTTGCTGCTGTTCTGTTTTCCTTTTCAACAAAAAATACTTTTTTTTTTAAAGTCTGTAATAGCGCATAGCCTTACTGAGTTGCCTGTTTTGTTAGTCTATTCCCTAGATCGTTGTCACTTTTTGCATTGATGTGGCTTATGTTTAATGAATCAAAACTCTTGATTTTTACAAAAATTTCCATTTGTAATTATATGTAATTATATGTACATATGTCTTCCAGTTGTCTTTTCAAAGACACTTTTTTTGTTACGCTTATTTTTCCATGTATCTCGTTGATTATTCTTTTCTGCCTTTCCATCTTAGTTTGTCTCTTAACTTCCTCTTATTCTCAATTGCCTTTGGCAAAAGGATGAGCTACATCCATAATAGGGGTTACACTGGTAGATGAAAACCGATGTTCTTACCTCTAGGGTGTTTGGTTATTGCAGACTCTCTAAACAGGGAATAGAGCCATTGAGAATTAAAATCCAGGTCTCATGCCTCTCCTTTGCAGCCATTACTGCAGGTTGAGTTCTCCATGAGTGTGTGTGGGGGGGGGGGGGGGGCGGTGGAGAACATTTAAAATATATGTGTGAACTCAGAATTAAATAAACTGGTACATGTAAAATGGTTAGAAGATACAGTAGGCCTTCCGTGTTAATATTATATTACGCAAATTTTCTGTTCTCTGTGCTGCTCTCCAATCACTTGAACTGTATTATCATTGCTTGGCACCCACTATTTCATATAGAAGATCTTGAATGGGTTAAATTAATACACACGTATTACCAGCCTTAGCAACTTAATGAGACCCTGTTCAAAACGGAAAAAAAGAGGAGGGGCTGTGTGATGTAGCTCAGTGGTAGAACACCCTTGGATTCAACACCCCATACTGCAAAAAAAGAAAAATCATTTCCATACAGTTTCCCCTGTGATTTAAATAAAGAAAAAAAAAAGCACAAAATGATAAGAGGTTTTCCTTCCCTTCCTCACAACACAAATCCATCCTTCACAGTAAATTAAGGTCGTAAGTAAAGTTCTGTGTTGTTTCCCATGTGATATGCACATATTCCTTTAAGATCCAAGGGAATGCAAAACATTTTAGTTTATCCTGAAGAAATAGAATTCTTTTTTCAGATGATGAAGAAAGAGAGTACAGTTTCTAGTCTATTACAATTCACTGATAACTAGAAGATACTACAAGGCATTAAATAAAAGAACACATTAATAAAGATGCAGTCTAGGGCTGTGGATGTAGCTTAGTGGTAGAGTACTTGCCTAGCAAGCATGAGGTCCTGGATCTGATCCCAATACTGCCAGTGGGGAGGCAATCTGATCAACTTTCTGACTCCAGATTAAATCAAAATAACAAACATTTTTAAACTCTAATTCTAAAATTAGTAATTTTAACGGGGCATGGTAGCACATAATTGGGCATGGTAATCCCAGTGACCTAAGAGGCTGAGGCAGGAGGATCATGACCTTCAGGCCAGCCTGGGCCACTTAGACAGGTATTAAAAAGGCCTAGAATGTAGCTCAGTGGTAGAGAGCTCCTATGTTCAATCTCCAATACCATACACTCTCTCTCTCATGTATGTATGTGTATATGTGTATGTGTGTGTGGATATATATATATATATATATGGAGAGAGAAAGTAAGTACCTCAGATTTGCCTTTTGAACTTTGGGCTATTTTGTTTTTGTTGTTTGTTTTGGGGATTGAACCCAGGTTATTTTATTTCAAGACAGCCTCACACTAAATGGCCCAGGCCGACCTTTAGCTTCCAATCCTCCTGCCTCAGCCTCCTCAGCAGCTGGGATGGTAGGTGTGCACCACTGTGGCGGGTGTACTTTTGAGTGTTTAACTTACTAATACAGTTAACATTTGGCTGGCCTGACACAGTAATCTCAGTCAGCACCTCTCCATTCTCTCTCTCCCCACTCCCTCCCTCCCCATCTCTTCCCCTCTCCCCCTTCCCACCTCTCCCCTTCTCTCATGCCAAGTTTGAACCCAGGGCTTCATGTGTGCTAGGCAAGTGCTCTACCACTGAGCCACCTCCCCAGCCTCATGCTAGTCTTTTTTATAAAGGGTTGCTACTATCAGGCTAGAGTTAGGTAAAGTAATTTTATAACCTGGTCCAAATGCATTTTTTTTTTCTGGAAAGCAGCATTTCTGAATGAGACCTGAAAATGGACCTTGAACTTTAGTGCCCCCACTTTTGATATGTATGTGGTGTTACATAAATTTCTTTAAATCATTATTTCTCAGAATAACTTGATGAATGACAGTGTTCCTTTGAAGGTGAATGGTCAGAAACTATGTAGATTTTCAAAAAACTTTCTATCTTGAGTAAAAAAATGTAAAAGCCACTCATGACTCAATGTTATTTTGGGCCATCTTAACATATTTATGTTCTTTTCACCATTTTAAGTAGTTACAGCCCATCTTCCCATAAGTTCTGCTGCTGCTGCTGCCTATGAAATATTGAATGCCTTTGCTTTTGGAAAAACCCAGAAGCATGTGTTGGTTTGCCTTTAAATAGATAATACATTTACAGAATCATTTCTGGAAATGATTACTTATTCCTATAACAAGTCTTAGCACCTGGTAAGACTTGGTCATTTAACATGCTTAAAATTCAGATTCTTTACCCCTGCAACTGGCTGTTGAACTTGACCCATGAAATAGTTGTAGTTTATCTTGCTTGCCTGATTGCATGCTTCTTCTCTTTCTACCTTTTTTTTTCCGTCTTAAGGATGATTAGAAAAAAATCTGATTGCAAGCTAGTCATATAAAAATCACCTCATATCATTAATGCAACATTTTACCAGAACCATTTGTTCAAAGGAATGTCAGATCTTGGCTCTCTATAACAACTAGATTATATCTACATCTTTAACCAGCATTTAAACAGGCACATAGCTAGAAGTACAGTTCGGATTTTTCACTTGGACATGCCTTTCTTTGGGGGCCATAATAAACTCACAGGAAGTAAGGAGAGTTGAGTGTGATGGTTCGAGGGCACCTTTAGGTAATAACATCTTCTTCCTACTTTTCTCTCTGTCTCTGCTTGGCTCCTTTTCCTGAACCTGCTTTTGGCTTTCTTCACCTGTTCTTCTGGCACTCTTGTGTGTAAAACCAATCACCTGCACCCTAGTTATCCCCATTTGTCCTCGTTCAGCATCTTGCAGCCCCATCATCATGCCCTACAAAGCTGCACACTCTAGAAATCCGGTGGACCGACCAAAACTCTTTGTAACACCACCCGAGGGCTCTGCGCGCAGGAGGACCATTCATGGCACGTTGGTGAGTAGCAGTTGGGAGTGGACTGGCGAGTCTGGGAGCCAGTTCTTTTCTGTGCAGAGTGGATACTGCCCAAGGTGTGGTATGGTTATAAGACAGGGTGGCCATGACACTCAGCATCCCATTCATCACACGTCTGGCTGACAGTTGGTACTGCACACACCCCTCTCCCCACATGGCCCCACTTCTTTCCCATTTGAAATATTGCTTTCCCTAAAATTTGAACATGAAGATGAAAATGGATCTTTGTTTAAGCATATAAGTGCCTGACCTATCCTGCTGGGGACTCTCTACAAATAAGTGCAATGGCCAGGCATGGTGGCACACACCTGAGGCAAGAGGATCTCAAATTTGAGGCCAGCCTTGGCAACTTAGGGAGACTCTCAGGAACTTAGCAAGACCTTGTCTCAAAATAAAAACTAAAAAGTACTGGGGTAAAGCCCCTGGTTTCAATCCCTCAAACCAAAAAGTAAACAAGTGTAATGCCAGAATTCCTTCATTTTTTAAAGTAGGCAAACCAAATGGCCTTTGCCAGGAAAATGGGCCTGAACTGCTGCCCCTTTAATCCCAGTCACATCCAGAAACCTGCAGAACTCCAAGTGTGGTTCAGTAAGCATTGAGATAAGGAATTTTTATCCTGCTTAACTAACCCCTGTCAATGCCCACATCTTTAAATACAGTGAAGAATATTTTGAAAACACTACTTATTTGCTAAGTAACCAATTCTTGAAAGGCCGTTGGCCTGTACTATGAACTCAGATTTTGCAAGTGAGGAATATAATTTGTGCTTGTTATTACTGGCAAGGTGACTAAGCTAATGTAATTTTCATCATGCTATAAACAGCACTGAGGTAATTTATGTCTTCAGGAGTCTTTCTTCATCTTTGTTTTAAACTGTACTTATTTGATACCACTCAAAGATCATTGGTCTATGGCCTTAAGATACTGTACTTTAGTATACAAGGCACTAGATTGTACTTTAGTGTCACTAGACACTAATCCACCAGCTCTCATTGCCTCTGTCCTGTGATCATAGTACGATCCTTGTAATGAATGGCTGGAAGAATTTATTTATAATCTCAACTTCCAGAGCAATTCAGATGAATAAAGCTGATGGATACTTAAAAGGATTTTGCTCAGAGGGTAATTTGAGGGTTGTGAGAGCCTTGATGGCTTTTCTGGTGGCAATTTTCTTTCAAGCCCCTTCAGGCATCAGTGTTAATTCATGATGAAGTCAGACCGGAAGCCCTTAAAGTCAAAGGTGAAACTACCTTTGATGTTTGTGGAGTTTTAGTTTATTAGCGTTTTGGTACACAGAGATCCTGGCCGTGGATATAAAGCAATATCAAAGCAACAGCTTTGGATGCTTATCAGACAGGGGAAAAGGGCATTTACCAAAGGAAAAGTATCTGGTTATAGGTAAAAACTGAAATTAACCATCTTTGAGGGGAAGTGGAAGGTTGAGCCTTGGCTACCAAAACGAATGAGGTGGTTCATCATAACCTGATCCAGAGCTTTGGTGGGTTTTTCTTTTTAATGCCTTCCTCTATATAATGAACCTTCTTTTCACCTCCTTACAACCAAATATTTAGACAAATATGTGTTGCCAGAAAATGACTGGTGGAGCCAAACTGTGGAATTGGGTGGTGACTACCACCTTGAGCCCTTGAAAAGTGGCAATGACACTGACAGGCTGTATTTTTAATTTTTACAGAATGTTTAATTATGGTTAAAAACCCCACTTAACATAATCATTTTTAAGATGGTGTCAAGTATATTCACAGTATAGTGCAACTAATTTCCAGAACTATTTAAATCCTGTGCATCCGGACCCATTATGCATATTGAACGTCCCACTTTCCCTTCCTCCCCTATCCCTGGCAACTATCCTTCTGTTTCCTTTTTCTCTGAATGTGACTATTGTAAGTACCTCATAAGGGGAATCATGATGTATTTGAATTTTTGCAACTAGCTTATTTTACTTAGCATAATGTCCTCAAGGTTCATCCTTGTAGCACGTGACAAATTTCCCTCCTTCTTAAGGCTGAATAATATGTCCTTACATTTTGTTATCCATTCATCCATTGATGGACATGTGGGTTGATTTCACCTCTTAGTTATTACCAATAGTGCTGCTTTGATCTTTGATGTGCACATCTCTCTTGGAGTTTTGCATACATACCAGAAGTGGGATCACAGAATCATATGATAACCATGTTTTAGTCTTTTGGAAACCACCATGCTGTTTTGCATAGTAGCTGCACTGTTTGACATTCTTGCTGGTAGCACACAAGGGTTGCAGCTTCTTGGCATCCTTAACAACCTACTCCTTTGTTTTTGTGTGACAGCTCTCCTAATGGATGTGAGGTGATAACTCATTGTGGTTTTGATTTGCATCTCTAGTGATCAGTGTCATTGCACATCTCTTCATAGGCATGTTGGCTATTTGTACATCATATTTGGAGAAATGTTTATTAAAATCTTTAAGCCTTTGGGGTGGGGGGATACTGGGGATCAAACCCAGGGCCTTATATGTTAAAGAAGTTTTCTTCCACTGAACTAAATCCCCAACCCCTGCCCATTTTTTATTCAGATTACTGGTTGTTGAATTTTAGCAGTTATTTATATATCATTAACCTCTTCTTAGATAGGATTTGTAAATATTTTCTCCTATTTCATAGGTTGCTTTTTTACTATTGTATCCTTTGATTGATGCATAGAACATTTTAAATTGAATGTTCTGTTTGTCTGGTTTTGCATTATTGTCTGTACTTTTGTGTTATCCAGCAAATCAGTATCATTTGAATGACATGAAGTGTTCACCTATGTTTTCTCACAGGAGTTTCATAGTTTTAAGTTTCACATTTAGGTCTTTAGTCCATTTTGAGTTCATGTTTGTATATTGTGTAAGGGAAGGGTCAGATTTCTTTTTCACGTGGATATCCAATTTTCCCAGCACCATTTATCGAGGAGAGCATTCTCTCCTCATTGGGTAGTCTTGAGATTTAACCAGCTTTACAAGTGTTTATTTCTGGGCTTTTTATTCCATGGATCTATATGCCTACCTTTATAACTGGTTTGATTACTATAGCTTTGTAGTATTTTTAAATCAGGAAGAGTAAAACCTCCAGTTTTTTTGTCCTTTTTCAAGATTGTCAAGTCTCTCCTGTGAGTAAGCTGTCCAGTCAATTGGTATGGACAGCTTTCTGTGTGTGTTCCCCTCAGCATTGTGGAAAGTGTTGTAGGCAAGATGATTATGTAGACTGCTGGGCATTAACTCACATCGGGATGAGAATCAGGAGTGCCTTTATGTGTGTGGCGCCCAGAAAGGTGGCTGTATGTAGAGCAATGAAACAACTAAGAGGATTTAAAAAAGTAAAAATAAAAACTACCTGCTTGGATGGGTATTATCTGAAGTGTGGGTGGTTTTCTAAATCACTCTTCCCCTGTTCTCCCAGCTCTGGGTGATTCAAGGTGATTAGTTTCTTTTGGGAGAGAGAAAAGTAACTAGGTACAGTGGCACTTTGATAAAAACAAGACTATCCTCAGATAGTCTCTTTTATGTAGGTTCATCCCTAGTCCCTTTTTCATCAAAGCCCCGATGAGAAAGGTCATCTCCAGACTCTCCACATCACAACTTACCTGRCTACTCAGAGCCAAATTTCAGCCAAATCAAAATATTTTGAGGGGAAAAAAAAAAGAGACTATACCTGGTACTTAACCCCAGCTTCCCTTGGAAGAAACTTGGGCCTTTCATCCTAGGGACTGATTTACCCAAGGCATAAATGCCACCCATGCATCAGCCAGAAGGGTCCCATATGGTAGCTGCAGCTTTTGCCATCAACGACTGCTCTGCTGTGCAAGGTCCCTCCTCCTGCCCTTTGGGATCAGAGATGGGGCAGAGGGTGGGCATGCAATTGGAGTGGCACCAAGTTAACACACACCTGCAGAGCTCTTTCCTGCCCTGTGCATTTTTTTCTACGTAGATTTCCTGGAAGACAGTATTACTGACACTCCTCCACCTCCACACACACCCCCATCTGTAGCCCAGTCAGTCAGGATGCTGSTCAGGAAGATGAAGAAAAGCTATGAGAAGCATAAAGAAGAGCAGGAAGAACTGATGCTTAAGCCAGTGAGAGAAGCACACTGCCAGCTTTTCTGTCCTTAGACTAGATAACATTCTGTCCCTTCCTTTGTGTCCTTGGCAGTTTGCTTTCCTGACAGCCATTTCACCCAGGTCCCAGGATCCCCCAGCTGGTCTTCATTTCCATCTCAGAACATGGTAGAAAGTTTTAGATAGTTGGAAGCTTTCTGTTTTGCAATGGGCAGGGGGGCAGGTCTTGATGAATTTTAGAATCTCAGAACACTTCTCTGGGCTTCTGTTTGACCATTTCAACTCTGGAAATGTGCCATCTGCCTGACTGAACTGCTCCATGACAGTCAGGGGAAGGCTGATGTTTTAGCCCCTACTCGGATCTCAGATTCCTCCCCCGATAAAGAATACAAATACCTAAAATTCCTCATCTTAGACCTGACTTTCCTTGGAGAATAAGAGGACATTAGATGAGAAAGGACTTTTTCCTGTAACATTAATACAAGAGGAAAAGTGAATTAATGTTGAAATAGCAGGTATGTATTTTTTTTTTTTTTTAATGACTAGGCTGCTGGGCCTGCTACTGCATGCCTGTGATCCTAGCAACTCACAGGAGTGAGGAAGAAGGACCAGAAATTCTAGGCTTGGGCAACTTAGTAAGACCCAGTGTCAAAATAAGAAAGAAAAAGAGGTGGGAACATACTCAGTGGTAGAGCAACCCTGGGTTCAATCCCTAGTATTAAAAAATAAATAAGCTATGGTATTCTCTGTGGTGGAAAAAAAAAAAGTGCTGCTAAAGAAGTAAAAAAGAAAAGTTTGCTTTAACTGAAAGCATAAAAATAGAAGTGACCTTTATTTCAACGTTTGTGGGAGATAAACCATATTATGATAAATTTTGTTCCAGGTAAGTTTAGATGCAAAGTCAAAGTGCTTTCTAAAAGTCTAGATGTTTTTGCTTTTGTTTCTTTCTTAAATAAGTAAAATCTCAATCTCACATCCAGACCCACCTTATTAGTGTTACCTATATTAATTCAGATATACTGTTCAGATTAACAAAGGCCTTGTGTTAAGGCTGGAATGGATATAGGTGATATAGCTTAAGAATTTCTAAGAAAATGTTACATGGTTTGTAGCTCCACTGTTGAATACTGTGAATGTGGTTGTCTGACTCACTGAGAAATCTAATCACTGAGTTTCTCTGAACTTAGGGCCAGAAAAGAGAGAGAGAAAGAGAAAATGTACCCTTCCATCTTACATCTGGCATCCGAAGGGCTCTGTCTCCATCTAATCCCAAGGCAAGGTCATCAGCATGCTCCCGACTTTGGTAAGTGAGGTGCTCAAGGCTGGCAGGGACGTTCTGTGTGGGAGAATGAATAGCTTCTGTCTTCATAGAGAACCATTCTTTTCACAYTGCGTGGCTCTGACTTAGAGAATGATAGTCTTTCTCAAAGCAAAGAAAAAAGGAACATGACACATTGGACTTGGTTTCTAAAGGACTTCATTTCTGCATTTACCACGTAAAAGACAAACACACATAGCTAAATGTCTGCATTACTTTTCCACAAATTGTTGTCCTGGGTTCTGGGAAGCCTGTTCTGATGTGTTCCTCTCTTCCCATTGTGTGCTGCCCAGGCTCCCATCCAAGTCCCTTCCGCATTTGCCCGGCACACCCCGACCGGCGTCCCTGCCTCCTGGCTCAGTCAAAGCTGCTCCCACCCAGGCCCGGCCCCCGTCCCCTGGCAACATCCGCCCAGTCAAGAGGGAAGTCAGAGTGGAACCTGAAAAAAAAGAGCCCGAGAAGGAACCTGAGAGTGTTGCCAGCGAGCCCTCGCTGAAAGGCAGGACACCTTTAGTGAAGGTAGACGAGGCCGCAGTTGAAGACGGGACCCCTGTCGAACCAGAAGCTGACCCTGGTGAGAAGGAACTGACCTGGGCAGGGACCTTGGTCGGCTGTTCTCTCTGCTTGCTCTTTTTCTTCAGCTTCATTTTATGTAACTTTTCTTTTTTTATTCTTACTGGAGACTTTGAATTTTTACTCTGAGGCTTATTTCAGAACCTCTTCCTAAGTATGATTTTCTTTTTTTTTTTTCTTCTCTATTTCATTTTTTGCAGGGGGACTGGCGTTTGAAACCCAAGGCTTCATAGAGGCTATACAAGCACTTTACAACTAAGCTATGTCCCCAGCCCTGCATGTTTTTTTTTAATTTTGAGATAGGGTTTCACTTTAATTTTGAGGCTAGCCTTGAACTTGCAATCCTCCTGCCTCAGCCTCCAGAAGTGGGATTACAGAGGCCCACTAGTGCACTTGCAAGTCTCTACCTTTTCAAGGGAGAATTTTCAAATAATCTATTGATATACATTTAAACCAGCACCTCCAGGATTTTCCAAAATGCAGAGTGCGGCCTTACATCACAGAATTCTGCTTCATCTCGCACATTGGAGCCAGGACTGCAGCAGAAGCAGGCCGTGTGAGCTGCACGCCGTGCCTGCCAGACAAGGCGAGGCCTCTTCACACCTCCACCTGGAGACGGCACTAGCTGGACTTTTGTCTAAAAGCAGCCTCTTCATTTGGTGTTGTCATGCTTCCAGCCTGAGCCTCGACCTGTGGCAGGGTGCTGTAGTAATGAATAGTCACCAAAGAGTAGGAATTTTTTAAACAAAGGACAAACAAAAGAGCTCATCTCCGTTTTGCTCAGGGTATAATTTCCCACAGAAATCTAACATGAGGTTCTCTACTCAGTACATATTTGATAGGTACTGTTAGCTCATTTAACTGCTGTAAAAGTAAGACTTGGTGACAAGCTTGTGACAAGCTTGAGCTTTGAATGTCTCATTTACACATGCAGTGGGTCCTTTTTTTTTTTTTTTTTTTTTTTGATTATCTGTTGCTTGGTTACAGAGAATACAGTGAAATTGTGAGAACACACAGTAACAAACATTCCCTTTTCTCTGATAATGATGAATTCTAGGTCTGGGGTGTGGGGAATGCTAGTTTTTGTTTTGTTCTTTGGGTTTTGTTTCCAGTTGGTTTTCTCCTTGAACCTGTTTGTACAGCTGCTCCAGGCTCGGCCCCAGCCTCTGATCCAGCTCCAGTCCCAGCCCCGGCCCCAGCCCCAGCCCCATCATTCACTGTGACTGCTAGTGCTGCTCCTAAGATTTCTGCAGGCACCACTGACCCAGAGGAGGCCTCTAGGCTGCTGGCTGAGAAGAGACGGCTGGCCCGAGAGCAGAGAGAGAAGGAGGAGAGGGAGAGGCGAGAGAAGGAAGAAATAGAAAGGTAAAGCAGTAACAGTGAAGTGATGTCAGCGGTACCACAGTTAGGCCTTGCATTAAGTCCTCCCTCTGAGAGGGACGAAGTAGTAGTTAAGTGACAAAGGTGAATGTGTACATTTGGGGTGGTTCTTTTTAGGTGGTCTCTGCACAGTCTGGAGATTGTACATACATATACACACATTTACATAATTGTAGTCACAATAAGGGTACAACGGCACAGTCTGCTTTTTCACTTAACACATGTCCAATCTCTATATTTCCTCAGTATCTTTGTAATGATCATTGTAAAGCTGCTTTAGTAAGGGTTCATGTTTTCTTCCAGATTGTGGCTGGGTAAAATATTTAATGTTGCATGATTGCCTGCCAGATAGTATGCTAAGGGCAGATTGCTTAATTGGTCACCTTCTGGGTCTAATAAGGCTGATGCCAATATAATTGTTCCTCACACAAACAGAAGGGCACTCTGAGGCTGGACCTCAGGCTACCATCTTGGAGGTGCCCAGCCCTTGATCCCATCAGGAGCTTCCCTCTTCAGTTCCAGTACAGAACATTATGTTTGTTTGGTTTATTTTAATTTATAAATGAGGAGAGTAGATTCATATTTGTTACTAAAAAGTCACACAATTTGAATTTATAAAGTCTAAGCCGTTAAAGATTGTTAAATTGTAAATCCTTGGAAAAAGAGAGCTCTCCTTAAAATACTCATGGTTGCAGTTTGCTGCTGTTTATCACGGGCAGCAAAGACGCTGGGAAGGGAAGAGGAAGGACAAAGGATGTCTTCAATTTTGTCCTGTAACGTGTTGAATGTATCCAGTTGAAGTTTTGGGGAAGCTCTTTGAACAAACTGCCCTTGCAGTGCCCACACTTGGGGAGGGCGGGGGCRGCCTCCTTCAAGGACTCCTCCTCATGTGTCTTTGCTTTGTCTTTTCCCAGACAGAAGAGAGAGGAATTGGCTCAAAGGGTGGCTGAGGAGCGAACTCGCCGAGAAGACGAGTTGCGTCGTCTGGAGGCGGAGCAGGCCCGGGAGAAGGAGGAGCACCTGCGGCGGCAAGCGGAGGAGCGCGAGCGCGAGGAGATGGAGCGCGCCCAGAAACAGGTGCGCCCGGGCACCACCCTCGCGGCCACTTGCCCCGGGCGGGGGTGATTCCCCCCATGAGAGCACCGTGGGCACGGGTCCCTGTTAGAAAGGCCGCGCGTTGCTGGTGTGGGTTCTGATTTCTGCATGGTCTCCACCTGCTTCTGCATCCGGGGGCGCCCCGGGACGAGGTGCTGGCCCCTGTGTAAGAGGCACACACCCACCTTGTGTCTTCAGAAAGAAGAAGAAGCTCGGGTGCGCGAAGAAGCTGAGAGGGTCCGGCAGGAACGAGAGAAGCACTTCCAGAGAGAGGAGCAGGAGCGCCTGGAAAGGAAGAAGGTAGCAGTGTCAGGCCCAAGCTGGGACGGAGCCTCTGAGCCTCACCTGGATGGGAAGGCCGCTGACCTCCGGGAGACTGGCTGCTGTCTTTACCCCTTCCAGATAAATAGCCCTCAGTGCTAATAATCTCCACAAAGAAGCCACTCTCAAAATTTGAGTTCTCCTCCAAAGCAGTTAATTTCCACTTCTAGTAGTTAAGTCAGTCCAGCTTATTTGCTACATCTATTATTATTTTTTTTTCTTTTTCTTTCTTTCTTTTTTTTTTTTTGAGGCAGGATCTGGCAAAGTAGCCCAGACTGGCCTGGAGTTTAGGATCCTCCTACATCAGCCTCCGTAGTAGTGGCTGGGATTACAGGCAGATACCACTGCAGTACAATCTTTCTGCATGACTCCCAATTAAGAAAAAAACAGTATGAATTATTATTTTCCCCAAATGACAGGCGACAGACATGTTTTTATATGCTGCTGTTTGATTACTGCAGTGCACTAGGCTGGCTTGGCTTGTGTTCTACATCTTATCCTCTTTCTCATTGTTCTTTCTTGCAGCGACTTGAAGAGATTATGAGAAGAACCAGGAGGACAGAAGCTACAGATAAGGTACTGAGATGGCTACTTTCTCATCATTCGTGATGGCTCTTTTTCTTTTTTAACCTTTAATTGTAACTTTAATTCTTAAAAATCTTTTTTTTTTTTTAATTTTTCTTTTTGGTAGAAAACCATTGATCAGACAAATGGTGACATAGCCAAGGGAGTTCTCACTGGAGGAACAGGTATTTCTATGATTGAATTCAAATCAGCTGAAGGGGGAAAAAATTTAAAATTATTTTATTAAATCATAAATATACAAAAGCTTCTTAACTCTGCACATGCATTTAAATTTATATTGTTATGTCTTATTAGACCATGCTCCTGGTTAACAGCTTTTCAAAACTTTGAGAAATGCCTTTAAAAAGTTTTCACATGTAATCTAAAACTTAGATATAACACTTTCAAAGAAGGAAAGCTCCTACACCCTTACAAAGACCACCTGAAATAAACAGTAATTAAAAAGCTAAGAAATTGTCTCAATAGCTTTTTCTTTCCTTTTTTTGGTACTGAGGATTGAACCCAGGGAAACTTTACCACTGAGCTACATCCATAGACCTTTTCATTACTACTGCTACTACTACTACAATTATTATATTTTGAGACAGGGTCTCACTAAATTGTAGAGGCTGGCCTTGAATATTCAATCCTGCTTCAGCCTCCTTGGTCACTGGAATTACAGGTGTGCACCACCACACATGGCAAAGGCTTTTTTTTTTTTTTTTTTTTTTTTTT